AATTGTAACCATCTTGTACTAAAGATAAATAGTCTCATTATCTATATTTTTTATTATAAAAGGGTTAGTAATTGAATTTAAAATAATAAAATGTATTAAAAAATATTACTTTCAAACTATCTTTTGTCTTTAACACGTCTTACCTTTGCAAATTCTCATTTTATCAACTTTCAGTATCTTAAAACTATTGGAGTATGGCCATTAAGGCCTCATGATCACCATAGTGTTCATGATCGTTCTCTTATCTTCTATTTTCAAATACATTTAATTCAATTTAATTATTTTATATGCTTGCTATAATAGTCTCATTGTATTCAAATCTTTTGATTATCTTTTATGGTAAATTTCATTATTTTTTTTAACCACCCATCAACGATATTCTAACGGTCACATTAAACCAAATATTTTTTTAGGGTAAGAGAGAGAAAATGATAAAAAAGAAAAAAAAAAAGGCTTAACTATTGATATGGGCAGAGAGAAATATGTACTATTGGATGCAAAACCTGTCATATGTTGTAAGGAGATAAGCTCCAATGCTTATAAAAGGGATTCACTCACCCATTGTAGGTCAGAGTCATTGCCTATCTCTCTAGCTATCCATAAGCTTTACAACAATATTCTTTTTTTCATCTCTATCTTTCTCTCTCTATCATTTTCAATCGATTTTGTTAAAAATTTATTTTTCATAAAAAAGACCATAATTGTGCATGTTATGCATGGCAAAGTGGAAGAGGAGCATAATGGTTCTTTCCTCAACCAATGGAAGGTTCATACATCGACAAACAGGCTCAACCTATAGCAAATTATTTATAAAATATAAAGCTCATTTTAGTGTTCAATTTCCTTTTCCAAACGATCTTGAATTCATATAAAAAAATTTAAAATGTAAAAACTCCTATTTTCTTTTCTTGTTTTCCTTTTTTTTTTATTGACAAAGTTAATAATCGCTAAACTCTCTTTATCATCAATATACTCATCATCATCGTTAAAATCTTTTCTCAACTAATTGTGATCGGCTGCATAAATCTTGGTCTGCTATACTGCAGAATTTAGTAAATATGGAGTGAAAACCTTTTACCCAGTTAATTGGGATCGGCTACACTGCAGAATTTAGTAAAAGATGGATTTATATACATGCTATTATGCTCTATTAGGGATCATATCCTCAGTAAAGATGGATTTATATACATGGTGGGTAGAGATAGATTTATATAATGCAGAATTTAGTAAAAATGGATTTATATACATCCTGTTCTGCTTTATTAAGGGTCATACCCTCAGTAAAGATAGATTTATATACTGCAGAATTTAGTAAAAATAGATTTATATACCTTTTATTCTGTTCTATTAAGGATTATACCTTCAGTAAAGATAGATTTATAGACATGGTAGATAGCAGGATACTTTTAAAGGTCATACCCTCAATAAAAATAGATTTATATACATGGTAGATAGCCGGATATGCAATTGAGATATAAAGACGAGCCCCTATCCAATTTTTCACATTTTCAATGTGTTAATTAAAAATGTCGGTGATAAAAATAAATACCACAATATGATAACTAAGTGTGTGAATGCCACCACCACGACCCCAATCCCTTTCCTAAAGGGCAAAGAAGTTCAATCATAAAAAATACTCTTTTGATACGGGAGGCGCCGGCACGGACAAAAGGCGACGATCTATGCGTGTTGCCTCCATGTTACGATTGACCTTTCATGAACCTTTGTTTGTTCATCATTCGCAAATTACCATTATGTACATACGTTTCCTTCAAATGTCAGGACACGCCTGCCTCATAATTTCATAACTTCCTTTGTTTGTTCATCATTCGCAAATTACCATTATGTACATACATTTCCCTCAAATGTCAGGACACGCCTGCCTCATAGTTTCATGACTTCCTTTGTTTGTTCATCATTCGCAAATTACCATTATGTACATACTTTTCCTTCAAATGTCAAGACACACCTGCCCTATAATTTCATAACTTATAGGACCCACTAAAATAGGTGATTCTGTCTTTTTTTTAGGTTACTTTAGAGCGATGTCATAGAATTGGACGGGCCACTAAATCCATGACCGACTTGGTTGAATCGAAATCAGTTGAACTATTCGTCTAATCGGTTGAACTAGAGTTTAGAAAAAATAAAAAATTAGATATAATATTTTTAAAATGTTAAATATATTTAATTATTAATTTTAATAAGTTGGTTTAATTAGTTAAAAACCAATTATTCCAACCAGTCAAACTTTTGACTGATTTTCAGTTAATCTCAGTTTTTACTTTAGACAAGATCTGCTAATGTCTTGCTCGGTGATCTGATTGTCAAACCACTAGTTCATTCGACCTTGATAACTATGATTTAAATTACATTGGCAATATCTAGACTGTAACAATGATCTCGATTGAAACCGAAAACTAAATTTAGTTGAAACTAGTTAATCGAATGATATTGACCGGTCCATCATAAAAATAAAATTAGGCAATTTTATTATATACCTTCAATATTTTTAATTTAGACACGTTCTATAACAATGTTCTTTAACTTGGGGACAATCTAGATTAACAAGCACTCATGAAATTTCTAAAGCCAAAAATATTAGTCCTGTTTATTTACTCCCTCGGGTGAAATCCATCTAACAATTAATTTTAGGACCTAGAATTTTGGGGTGTAACATCTTCAACCCCTAAATTAATTAAAAGAAGAAGAGCCTAATTACGCCCTCTCTGTATTTGAAAAAAAAAAAGTCTCAAGATTGAATGGAGACCATCCAAATTTAAAAAAAGATTAGATCTATTAAAAAAATCAAATTTCAAAATTTTAATTTTTCTTTTGAGAATAATCACTAGTACATTATCGATGTCGCACCTCAAAAACTCTTCGGAAAATATACTTCTGATATTGGAAATCTCATGGCATGAAAATCTATTACTAACCAAGATTAAGAAATTTGAAGATAAAAAAAGGTTCAAATTTAGCCCATCAATGAGCACTTGAAAATAGATAAATTCAAGCAACAAGCCCCACTATGTTTTAGGGGGATACATTTTTTCATGATATAAATGTTGAGGTTAAGATGATCAATTTAAGGTTTTTTTTAAGTATTGGAAGTGTAATTTCTAATAAGATTTGACGTGCAATTTTACTTTTAAAATAAAGAAAATCATACAAAGAGATTCTCATGTTAGTATAAGAAGATCACAATTTTACTTTTGGTATGATGAGATCATAATCACTCTTGTCTCTCATGATTTGATTTGTGTGGCAGTAAGTAGACTCAAAGTTCACAAAAAAAAAAAAAAAAAAATTCACGATATACCCCAAGCCGTACAATTTGATATCTAATGTCTAGGAGTTGTGACCTCCCCTTAACAGTAAGAAACAGTCTTATAGTATACAATCCAATAAATAAAAGATTGTATGCTACTAAAACGACCATTCGCTTTTAGTACAAGGACACCATAATTAACCTTAACCATTAGATGTAAAATTCAAGAGGCCACAATTAACCTTAACCAAAGATGTAAAATTTGATAGCTTGAAGTATGTTCATACTTCAAAAAAAAAAAAAAAATTGAACTTTGTGTCCAATCAATGATACACCTCGCTTATCTATTTCACATCCAATATAAATGATCATGACTTATATGTGGAATTGTATACAATGAGACTATTCACCGTTGACACATGGTGGTCATAATTACTTACAACCATCCGATGTGAAATTTGATAACCTAGATATATCACAAAGTTCGTAAAAATTTGTTTTGATTTTTTGAACTTCATCAATGGAATAATTACAGCCACCAATTTCACATCCAATAGTTAAATGGTCTCATTCTGTATTTTCCGCTTATTTATACCAAAATATAAATGATCATATTAAAGTCTCACGCTAACCTTTACCTTCCTTTAATCCTTGCAACGCAATGCGGATACATGGCCTCTATAGGTGAAAACAAGTTGGGCCAACCTATGGATTTGGTGGGTCGACCCAATCAGGATCTAACTCACCTCATGAACCTCAAGTGTCGGGTTTGAGTCCTAGTCCAGCCAAGACTTTCATAAAAAACCCAAAGCGATCTAAGGATATAACACACTTTTTACAATTTGTATATCTATATTTTATATTATAAAATCATATAAAAATAATTTATATATTAATTGTAGTAAAGATAATTTTGGACTGAGACCCGTGACTTGGGTCTAGGTTCGGTCCTAGGTGTTCTTGGACCTCACCAACCCATTTACAGCCCTAGTAATTGGCCTGAATATATCCAAGAAAGGCCGGCAGCAGGCCGGCCTTTGGCCCAGGCCACCATGGCCCTCGTCTTGGGGCCACATTTTGTGGCCAAGGCTCTAGATTTTTACTGCCGGGCCAGGCCCCGGCAAGGTCACCCAGCCCATTGCCACTAGGGATGTCAACGGGTCTAGTCAGGTCTAGCTAGACCCGGACCCAACCTAAAAATTTAAAAATATCTATGTATTTAACTATATCTAAATATATTTTATATATTATGACCCAAAGAATATTTCCAAACCCAGACTCAGACCCAATCCCATACCCAAATAGTGTTTGGATCCAAGATTTGGACCCGGAACCGACCTGCCAGGTCCAATTTTTAGACCCATACCCAGTCCCGGATAAGGTCTGGTCCTAGGTCCGGTCAGGGTCAGGGTCCGGGTCCGGGTCCTGGTCTGGGTCCATTGCCATTCTTATACTAAGGGAAAGAATCAGAAATTAAGGACCCGGGTGTCTGAGTCATTCAAGTAGAAGTGAAGGACATAATAAATACCCAAGCGCCTACAGTGAAAGGCCTCCCACTCCCCGCTCACCCAATATGTTCCCTACAAATTCTCATCTCTCCTCCCCCTCCCCCTCTCCCTCTCCAAAGCTTCATCCTCTAACCCCATCTCTCTCTAACACTCTCTCTAACCCCATCTCTCTCTAACACTCTCTCTAACCCCATCTCTCTCTAACACTCTCTCTACCCACTCTCTCTCTCTACACTCTCTCTCTCTCTCTCTAACTTTTGTTTGTCTCTCACTTAAAAAAATTAAAAAAAGGAGTGAACAGTTCATGTTGTCAGCCACATATCTAGCTGTAACAAGAGTTCTCTCTCTCTACAAGCTTAAAGTATTCATCATCCCCCCTACCCACTGTATCTCTCGCAACAGTTTCAGTTGCCCTACCAAAAAAACTCCTCCTTTCTCTCTCTTCCTGTTGTCTTATCAAATTATAAGTGGAGAGAGAAAGAGAGAGAGTGACAAAAAAACAAGCAGAACAAGCCATGGCCAATGAAGAAGAAGAAGTGATACAAAAAAGCAATGGAAATGGCAAAGTCCCAAGAGTTATAAGGCTCTTGTCATTTTTGTTACAGAGGGTTGCAGAGAAGAATGATGAGAGAGAAAATGAAGGCCCCTGTTTCTCTCAGAAAATTTCAGTGTTTCATGGCATTTGCAGGCCTGCGATCTCGATTGAGAGCTATTTGGAGAGGGTTTTTAAGTACGCGAACTGTAGCCCCAGTTGCTTTGTTGTGGCCTATGTTTATCTTGATAGGTTTTCACAGAGACAACAAACTCTCCCCATCACTTCTCTTAGTGTTCATCGCCTCCTCATAACCAGTGTCCTGGTCGCTGCAAAATTTATGGATGATCTGTGAGTAAAACCAATTTCTTTCTTTGTTTGATCCTTGTCTCAGGATTGTTGGTTTGTTTTTTTTCTCTAAATTTCTCTGAAAATTGATCTTTTTTTGGCTTTTTCACTTGGTTTCTCTGATAATTGCCTGAAAATTGGATTCCTCTTTCCCTGTTTGTCGTGCTTATGTTTCAGACTGTCAGTAATTAGGCTTGTTGGGTATTCATTAATTTTCCCAACTTTCTGTTTCCTTCCCTTCCTTCAGCAATTCAAGGTTTTTCGAATTTAGAGTGAATGTTAGACTCAATTTAGAGTCTGTGAAATTCATGGATGCCCTGTAAAAGTGTAATTGTGTAAATATAGTTAATTATTTTCTTTATTTCTTCCCAAGTAATGTAGATCACTGGCTTTTGTTCTTAGAATTTGATTAAAATTGTAGTTTCTCCTCATCATTTTGTTTATGTTTCTGAATTGGCTTTAATTTTCATTCTCACTGTAAATTTCCTCCAAAAAAACTCAAAAGAGCATTACATTCTTCTTCGAGATTTTAATCGGAACGCGAACTAATCTCTCTCTACAGGTATTACAACAATGCCTACTATGCAAAAGTAGGAGGAATAAGCATCACGGAGATGAACTGTTTAGAGGTGGATTTCCTATTCGGATTGGGTTTTCATTTGAATGTGACCCCAACTGCATTCAATTCGTATTGCACCCATTTACAGAGAGAGATGTTCGAATGCATAGGCGAGTACCAAATTCAGAGAGGTCTGAGCCCCCCTCATCACTGCTTTTTCGCAGATCACCATGATTCTCCTTCTCCTTCTCCTTCTCCTTCTCCTTCTCATCACAACAACCACCAATTAGCTGTATGTTGTTCACACACAGCTGTTTGAATCTCTCTCTTTAATGAAATTAAGAAAAACACATGGTTTTTCTCTTCTTTTTTTTTTTTGGGTATTGGGTCTCTCTTCAAGTCTGGTGGGAATGACCCATTTTCTCTCTCTAAATCTAATTGCTTTTTGTGACTTTCTCTCTCTTTGCTGGTTTGATAAGCTGGATTCGAACCCAAGATAGCATAATGCAGCCGCCCTTAATCCTACAAAATTCAAGTTGAAGGATAAAATTATGAAACCAACCTCTCTCCCTCTCTCTAAAATCGAAACTTTCTCTCACAAACTTTTTTTTTTTTTTCCTGCATTTCTTATACACAGATTAGTGTCAAATTTTATTTGATATTTCTTAAAGAAGTGAAGCGCGTTAATCTTCACCAAAAAAGGAAGCCCCCATTAATATTTTTCCTTTTTGTCTCGCTTTTTTTTCCATCGTTGTTTTTATTTTTTTGAGGGGCTTTTTTTTTTCGCTTATTTCCACGTGGAATTAACTTTTTTAGTTTTTGGCTAGGGTGGCTGTTGCACTTTACAGTCTGGCGCTTCCCCCTTGATATGACCACACACACATTCTCTCTCTCTCTAAAAATACATGGCACTGATCAGATTCTCTCTCTCTCTCTCTACTAAAAATACATGGCACTGAACATATTCTCTCTCTAAAAATACATGGCACTGATCAGATTCTCTCTCTCTCTCTAAAGATACATGGCACTGGACATATTCTCTCTCTAAAAATACATGGCATCGATCAGATTCTCTCTCTCTATACTCCAGATTTAAACAACACGGGAAAAATCCAGAGGAAAATATCATTTCTATATTAGAAATAGAGGAAAACAAAATCTGAAGGACAATGACAGGGCACTAAATTCTAGTTATCCCATAAACCATCAGTTTGATTCAAAGTTACTTCCAGATAAAACAAGAAAAGAAAGTTCGGATCAAGTAAATATACACGAAATTCAAGTTGGGATGAGCTTCATATTCTGCACAAATGTATAATGGTGTTAAAAATGGATAAATTTTAATTATTTATGAATTTTGGAAATACATTATTACGTGGTTAACCACCGGAACATTTTTTAATGAAGCACAATGACCACCTGTGTAAGGGGATCAGTAACAAATATTGACTTGAGCACCTGATTAGTACTGAAACGACCTTTCAAGGCTCAAATTTTTTTCTAATGCGTTGAATACGATAGACTTATCATCCAAATATCAGTAATTTATCCCAATAATTAAATTGGCCCAAAGTTTTTCCTAATGCGCTGAATACGATAGACTTATCCAAATATCAGTAATTTACCCCATAATTAAATTTTTATTTTGGATAGAATCCAAATTTCAATCCATGTATATAACTTTTCCCTATTACATGATATACAAATTTTTATAGTATAAAAACCAAAAAGTTTGTATAAGTTGTGAAGTAAGGCCACCTCAATAACCCATTCGAGAAGGGTGTTCTTATGTTCAAAAACTCTCAAAACAATATTGAAAAAGAAAAAAAGGGTTTTTTAAGTCATGAAAATAGTGCATTCTAAAATATATTATCTAGACCATATATTCTCTAATTTCGTATTGTTTAAATATCTGCTTAATCTACACTATTTTTGGAGCTTTAAATTTTATAATTAGAGTGACAATTAAAGTTCATGCCATTGCAAAGGCTTTCTAGCTCTCCGTCGCCTTCGACAAAATTTAGAGTTATGCTTTAAATTGATTGTTTAAGGTTGATGTCTAAAAAAAAGATTGATGTCTAATATAAACCGGACTACATAAACTT